GAATGCACATTTTTAATTGGTATGGTTTTTAAACAAAGGACACAGGCTTCTGATACCTCATTCACATACTTCATTATATGGCCTGTATGTTTCTGCTTTACAGAAAACATTTATATTGCATAAACTATTTTCAAGTCTCATCATTCATTTTTCCTCTAGCTTCCCTTTCCCCTCCACCCACCCAAAAACGAAGGAAAATACAACTTCTTCTATGTCAGTGTATCAATACAGATTCACATAATCTACAAGAGACCATAAATTCCTTAAAGGTAGATTATCCAATTCATTATCCAATTCACATCCACTCCACCTCAAAGAGCAACTGGCACATGGTAAAAATGTTAGCTGAATTATCTCCTGCTACAAGTCATCATTAAAAAAAAAAAAAAAAAAAAAAAGCCACAGCAACATGATTTCCTAGCAGCAAATGGAATAAATTCTAAAAATTCAACTGGAATGTAGAATGCTAAGAAATAATAAATCGGGGTGAAATTCATACTTCTTCAATTAGTATACTTTTTTTCAGATCTAGAAAACACATTCCATTTAAACTATAACTAATTCAAAAAGAGCAAAAAAAAAAATACCCTATAGCTAAAACCTCATAAAGATTCTCCTTCTTAAAAATCATATTCTGCTAGCTAATGTTAGAACTAAAATTAGAATCAGATTCTGCACCCCATGTTCTGGTTTGGTTATTTAAAAATTTAGAAAAATCATCAATGTGCTAGTTACTTTAAATCAGTTGGTGTTTGAACTGAGAACTATACTGCAAACACAGTAAAGTTGAAGACTTTAAAAAAAGTGAAAAGAATACATTAGAAAGTTCACAGGATTCTAATCTTGGCTCTTCCAATTATTAATTACTTGGAGTAAATTTGCTTAACTTCTTTGAATCTGTTTCTTCATTTGCAAAATGGGGACAGTAAGGCTTGCAATGAGAAGTAAATGAAATAACTGGCTGGAATTATGATAAATTCCCAATATATGCTAGTTATCATATTCCATTACAATATATAATTGGTGTCCAAAAATAAGTAAATGAATCAGGTAGTTTTTTGACAATGTAAGAACTTGAATAAAAAGGTATGAGAACTCTTAATAAAAAGTATATTAAACATACTTACATAACTTTTTACATTTTTAATTATTCTAATATTGACATAAAACACTCACATATAAGAAATGGAATGATAAAAATTTCGCAGGCTAACGAACATTTTGCAGATATGTTTGCGAAATATATTTTTTCAACGGCTAGAAGACATTTTTTCCATCTATGATTTAACATTATGTACATACACAATATACATAATGTAATAACATACAACCATATATACTACATAATATTATATACATAACAGATCCATTATTGTAAATAGTTGTCATTAACTCTAATATTGATAAACAGATCAGCAATGTGGATATTGCCATTATGATTTTTATAGCTGGAGATTCAGTAATATTAAATAAGTTATTCAGAATTACATGCTTTCTTCGACAATCCCATCCACTCTTTTGAATTTACTTCAGCATAAACCAAACATAACAGGATCCAAAATATTCAACTGATTAAAGTGAGAGATTAATGAGAAACAGATTTCAGTTAGCCCATCAGGTATATGTATCAATGTCTCTTTCTTACACACCAAAACAGTAAAGATAATTTAACACACTGTACAAAAGTAAATGCACAACAAACTGATAATGAAACATCATGTTTCTAACCAAACCAAGCCCACTGCTGAGGACACTAATTTTAGCTCCCCATCTAACAACAAAGGATTAAATGCAGATAGAAGCCAGTTGCCAGTCACATCCTGATTCTCATTATTCTGACATGTATCATCACAGGCTTTTATTATAATACCTCTGAGCTGATGACTTACGTCTCTGTTTTCAGCTCTGACCCTGCCTGAGTTTCAAATTCAAATACCTCTCCGATTATTTTTTTGGGGTGTGTTCACCTCATCTCAATTAATTTACCAATACTTATCCAGATAATTGGCATTATAATTGATCCCCTTTTCTTCATGCCAATTCACTGACAAAATCTGCCCATTTTCCCTTCTGTATTTCTTTGAATCCAACCTTGCTCTACATCAGCTAGTTCAGGCCCTCAAAATCTCTGAAAGGACAACTTAAATAGAATCTTTATATGCCTGATCCATCACCCTCAAATCCACACTACCATCAGTTATCTATAATGCACACAGGAACATGACCACCTTTTCTTAAAATCTTCTAAATGACCTCCAGTAGATTAAGTCTAATCTTTCCAGCAGAGCAAAGCAAACTAAGAGCTATCTATTTATCCTGCTTGTAGTAGAGAATCAAACAAAAATACTGACTCCTGGTAATAAGTCATACTGGTGCTTTATTTACCAGTTCCCTCCATTTGGACGCAGCCTGGATTCATCTTTAATTGAATAGCTGACACTTATATTTCCAAACTCAGGTGCTCCATAAACCTTTCCTACAATTTCCTTTCTCTATGATCTCACAGCATCCTGTGCACAACACTATTTTAAAAGTGTATTACATCGCCTCCCCCTAGACTGTAAGGTTTTTCGTGCATGGTTCATATTCTCTTCTTTAGTCAGTCTCTCCACTTAGCAAAGTCTATCATGTAGGCACTCAGTGAATGTTTTTCAACCAAATGTTTGAACTATACTATAATGGTAAACTAGGACATAAACCTAGATTGCTAGAATTCCAAAGCTTACCTTCTTTCTACTATACCATTCTAACTCCTACTTTGCTCTTTGCAAATAAAGCCCCAATCTAAATAAACTGAATGCCTTCTATCAAAAATATCTTCTACTAGATTTTTTCTTTGTACTCTAAAGACTTTTATACTTTATGCCCTGATGAATTAGATATACATTAAATAAACATTCTGAAAACCAATAATGAAAAACTTTTTTTAAAGCAAGCAGCAGTAACTCAAGAAAAATCCAAGCATCTATAGAAAATAAAATCATACTCATTTTAAGTTTATGGAGATTTAGTACCATCAAAATTATCAGAAAAATAAGGAAACCAAGCTTCCAAGAGCTGATATTAATCAAATGATTTTTAAGTTATAGTTGTACATTATGCAGATTGTTACTTACAAAACAGAATAGAATCAAATATGCAAGCAATAACGAAAATAAGAGTCAAATAGTTTCAGAAAAGCATCTGGTAATGTTCCAAATATGTGATGTCAAACCTCAGTGCTCTGAAGAAATAAATGCATTTGAAGATGATGAAAACAGCGCATAAACCAATGAGTTAATGAACTTCGAATGACTTATGAATGTAATCAAAATACAATTATTTGTAATTAAAAAAAAAATCAAATACAGATAGCCAAAGGCTTAGAAACTGAATAAAAGAGTTAAAGTACACAATAAACAAAAACGTTAAGTTCTTATTCTTATTTCTAACTGAAAAATAATGCAATCCTAAGACGAACTGTGTTAAGTTACGGCAAGTCAGATGTCATCAAATATCCAGATACCAAAACAAACGAGAAGAAATCAACAGTTATCAGGAAGTAATTGTACTTTTACGTCATCCATACAGAGCACTATCTCTGCCTCTTCCCCGAGCTTCCACCAAAAGGAAACCAACAAACGTTATTCGTACACACAAGCAGGCTCTTTTTACGATTTGAAATGCAATGGTTCTTTCTTGGCAGTTCTTCATATTGTTTTGGCTCATCGCATTTAGTGATCATTTCTTCTTAAAACATTGTGCGTGCTTTTTCAGTCGTTATTACAATTCCGTTTTGCCTCTACTTGTAATTAAAAGAAACCTATTTCCTGGGCTAAAATTTGTACAGAAATAAAGTCGTATTCTCCTAATAATAATACCTAACATATAAGTATTGCTTTTCTTTTTTCCTACACTAAATATTTCACATATACTCATTCTTTTAATCCTTAAAATATATCTAGGCACTCTTATATACTGGAAAGGAGACTGGAGAGAAGGCACTTGGCCTCAGGAACAGTAAATGTCAAAGCTAGGGTTAAATTTAGGTAGACTGATGTTCTTCACACATAAATCCTCTTCCATGAATTTTACATTCCAATTTCCATGTTTTCTTCACATTTTTCCTTCTGCAGAGACTCATTAAGTTTTTTCTCACCAATTATACATCCACTGACCATGGAGTCTACAACATAAAGTACTTGATCTCTAAGAGTTTTGTTCCCGTTTTATTTCCTCTTGACTAACATAACCTTAAAAAAAAAAAAAAAAACTACTAACTTAGTGATTAAAAAAAACTTGTAAATGTGCAACTAAGTCTTTTTAAGAAATACCGATCTCCCTATGTCAGAGTTCCTGTATAGAGACATCCAATTAGAGACGGCATTCTCATTACACCTGCTTCAAACACGCTGTTCCAAAGGATGGATTTCACAAGAGAATTACTCTTTTCTTTCTTTGCATATAAAAACTATTATTCCAAATTTTTAAAAAATCCATTCCCTCGCTCTGTATCAATTTTTCAGTTTCTGAATTCATATTCTCATCATCTGCACATATTTTTCCTTCCCTTTTCACTAACTCTTAAATAATAGCTATTTCCACGGAAGGTCCAGCGCCACCTGGGCTGCACTTGCTATTATTCCTTGCTGGGCGCGGCGTGTTTTTCTGCGAGTGCGCGAGAATCTTCCAGAAAGTTTTAGTCACACAGGAGCGTCGGCCATGTTGGTCTTCCTCACCCGTGGAGATCTACTCTTTCGCCTGTGAAACTTGAGACGCTGGAATCCTGCGGAGCCGCGGCCGAGGCTGCCTGCGTCAGGCTCTGTTGAGGCTTTAAGCTTCCAAGCGAGGCGCGCTCTGAGGGCTCTGAGTAGCCCAAGGGACGAGCCCGGCAGTCGCCCCCACTGCGGGGGTCACGCTCCTCTAACTTCAGAGCGTCCGGAAACGACGGCCGACTCGGCACCCTGCTAAGACGCGGGCGAGGGGCAGTGTGTCGAGGGAGATTCGAAACCGGTACTTACCACTGCGAGGCGTTGCCTGACTTTTCCTCTGCGGGTTTCAGGAAGACCCTCTGTAGGTTATTGGACATTTTAGAGGGGTGGGAGGGGCCAGCACATCCAGGAAAGTGGGCAATGGGGGGCCGAGGTCCTCCAAAGGGAGAGAACCTGAGCGAGAGAAGGTTGGGCTGGAGGTGTCCCGGAGCAACTCAGGTTCGATGCTGAAAGGAGGGCGACGGCAGGGTCTAGGGAGGGCGTATCCCTAGCCTTCGGAAGGACGCGACGCAGCCACCAGAAACCGGAAGAATCCAAGCGGCTCACGACGCCGCTCGGGCCTTAGGCTCTAAGAGGAGCGGCCCGACTCTCCGCCCCGGCGAGCCTACGACATCGCTTCAGAGCCATCACGGAAGGCGTGGCTTTAATGGCGCCGCCCCTAGGGGTGCAGGGTCAGTGGAGAAGACCGTGCGGGACAGGCTCGGCCGACTCCGCCCACCGCAGCCGCCAGCCGGGCAAAGCTCAGACAGTGGCTTCCGGGTTCGTCACGTCCGGTTGCCAAGGTGACTGGCTCGCTGAAGCACCGCCCTTATGATGGGATCCAATCGCAAGTGACGTTTGCTCTCTCTTCTTCCGGATCAAGTAACGAATCACAAAAGAATATTCTCAAGATTTCTACGCAAAATAAAATGTTTCCGGGGTCATTCGTAAATTTTCTGCCTATGTGTTAGCCGGTAGTGTAAGTTTTTCTTTCCCGCCAGTGCTTTAAAAGGCGTCGGAAGGCTCTTTTGGACTCTGTGCACTGGTGGTGTGTGAACCTTTTAGACGCCTGCGTGTAGCCAGCACTGTATTTCTTGCTGCTTTATGGGGTTTCTCGTTTTTTTTTTTTTTTTTTTTTCCTTTTTCTTGAAGCTTTGGCTTTAGTTTTAACCTTTCCTCCACCCCACGCTCATCTCATTCCTCGGTCAAAATTACTACTTATGGCCATATAGTTAATTCGTTAATTCTCCAAAAGTTTATTCTCCACATAGGTTGTTCCCCCCCGCCACCTTCATTTGGTTTTCCAGAGGAATCCTTTCCAGAAGTCTCTTGATTCCTGTTGAATCACTTAGCTGAGAAACGGTTAAGTCTCTGGCTTAAAGGGTGGACATTCTAGTTCAGCTCGGACTAGAGGGAAGTTGTGGGAGGAGTAGTTTAGAAGATGGTTTTAACAGGTATAGACAATAAAAATGTAAACTGGCTCAAATGGACTGTTCAAATTTAGAAGGCTGGCATAAGGTGGCTGAATCAAAGCTTTACGTTAATCTTTTTAAAATGCTGTTTACTAATTCCCCTAACTTCTTAATGAGCTAATACTTATTAAAGAGCTTAATGTCCTGATACCTTAACAGAAAGCAATACTTTTTAATTGCTGTTAATCTTTGTTGAAGGTTAGTTTCAGCGATAGACAATCCTGTGTGTGTAACTGGCATTTATCTTTCAGTCGAATATCGCCCATACTAAAGAAGGGGCAGGGTCGTGAGCATTTTATAATAAACTGTCTTCATTTTGGTCATTCTCTGATCTGTGAAAGCAAATTACTTGAATAATTTGCCCATTCATAGCTTCTTCCATGTTTTTATTATTTATTTCTTACCTTTCGCATTCTCAGTTCTCATGTCCATTATCTCTTCCTATAAATGAAACTCATTGTCACAGATTGATTTCCTTGGGAAGCAGACTTTTTCAATGCCTTTTTGCTGTGAAGGGAATTTATTAGATATCATTATTTGGGGAAGGGAGTGAGGGGAAGTGAAATTGGGAAGAGGGTGAAGCTAGGTTGTGATGCCCAGTTTCAACAAAATATCCCACATAGACCTCTAACATGTGATGTACTTTCAAAGTCTTCCCAGTAGGAATGCAGGCTTTGCCAAGGAAAGGTGTATTACCTTAGGCAAGGAGGCTCTCTTTAGCCAAAGCAATTACTCAAGGAGGTTGATAGCTGAGACATGTCTGCTGGCAGCACTCCCAGCAACTGGTGGAATAAGACTTTATTCCTCAAGGGAGGTCCCAGAGATACATCACAGCATCCATAGTACTCATTAAATCTCTCATTCAACTGTTCAAATTAATGCTGTTTGTCTCACATTTATTCAGATCTGTATTCAGCAGCACTTAATTATTCCTTCACTCTTGATGCATTTGGGAATATACTTTCTCGGTTTTCATCCTACGTTTTTGTCTTCTCCTCGGTCTTTTTTGGAGGTTTATCCCTCCCTTCTCAGCCATTAAATGAGTTTCTTAAATCTTGATCATTGATCCTTTTATGTTTTTTGAACTGTCATGTCCCCTCAGATGTTTTCAGGCATGCCCATAGCTTTAATTACCACTTCTACTCATTGCAATACTAACTAAATACTTATGTAATTCTATGCCAAACGCTATTCAAGTATTTTACGAATATTAACTCTTACTCAACAACTAGTAAAAATTACTACAGTTAAAGAAACTGATGCACAGAGAATAACATAACAGAATAAAGGGATGAGAGTAAGACCAAAAAAATTGGAGCATCTTAAAATATATATTTTGATAGCAAAAGATAGAAATTTAAAGAACAACTAACAGAAATGTCTAGATTCATAAGTCAATACACGTAGAGGATGATTTTACACACACATCTCTGAGAAATTAATAGTTGAAGCAGACAAAGAACTGGCATAGATAAAAAATTCTAAACAATAAACCCAGTCAATCCAGTAGATACATAACTCACTCCATTCATTGGATAGTTTACCATTTTCTTAACTAATTAATTTGTTACTTAAGTAACCCATAACCCCAAGATCAAGATTCATATGTTCTTCTGATTGAGCCAGTAAGACACCTAGTTTACCATTATTTTTAAGCATATGTAGAATATGTATGAAAATAAACTATATAATGGTAATGGTAATAAAGGAAACCCTGATAGTTTCAAAGAACTAATACTATACAGACTATGTTTTCGACTGCAAATTGATTAAATTAGCAGTTCAGATAATAAAGAATACCTTTGAGACATTTAGGAACTAAATAAGCTATTGCTAAATTACCTTGAATTAAGAAATAATGGAAATTAAGTGACTTAAATACATTTGTCATAAGATTAAAGCAAATGAGTTAAGCATTCAATTTAAAACGTGTTAGAAAATATGGAGGACATTAGGAGAAGGAAAGGAAAAGTGAATTGGGGGAAATTGGAGGGGGAAACGAAGCATGAGAGACTGTGGACTCTAAGAAACAAACTGGGGGTTTTGGAGGGAAGGTGGGTGGAGGGATAGGTGAGCTTGTTGGTGGGTATAAGGAGGGCAGGGATTGCATGGAGCACTGGGGTGTGGTGCATAAACAATGAATCTTGGAACACAGAAAAAATAGTCAAAAAAAGTATTAGAAAAAAACAAAACCAAAAGAAACAAGAATAAGTGAAGTATATAAAGAAAAATTTTTCATTAAACTCACAAGACCAGAGCTTGTTCTTTGATAAGACCAATGATAGAGATAAACTGTTGTGGGGCACCTGGGTGGCTCAGTCAGTTGAGAATCTGATTTGGTTTCAGCTCAGTTCAGAACCTCTGGGCCTCAAAACCAACCCCCACATCATGCTCTTTGCTCAGTGCAGAATCTGCTTGGGACTTTTTTTCATCCCTTTCCCTCTATCCCTCCCCCCTGAAGTAAATAAATAAAATCTGCAAAAAGAAAAGATAAACTTAGCGAGATTGGTCAAGCCCCCTCCCCAAAAAAGATACAAGTAAGCAAAAGACAGAATAAAAAGGGAAAATAACTAAATACAATAGAGATTTTTCTTTGCAAATATTATGAACAGCAGTTATAATACAACACTTGCTGAATCCTGCTACAATGATGCGCTACCATTTGATGCTGGTTCCTTTATCTAAATTATAAAAGGGAAACATTTTAAGAAATGTTTCTGAGGGAGCTGAAGGCTGTTTTAAAGCAATGAATGTATGTGGCAAGGGAAGAAGATAGCTGCAGTTGGGTGGAGAACAGTTAGATAACATAGTGAAAGATCAGGTTGGAGAAAGGAAGTTTTAAATTATTTAATTTATTTCTGTTGCCTCCCACGTTGCTCCAGGGACAAAGAAACTGGCCCCATTTTCCTACCCCTCAGCATAAGAGCAGAGCAACCTGCAGTAAGCAGCACAGTAACAAAATTGGCTACCTAGCCTGCTTACACCAAATTCCACACCCCTGCACTCTCATAGTACTGTCCTTCTTCATCAAATTTGTCTAAGTCCTAGTGTGGCAAATCCCTTCCCCAGAAGACCAGCAGAAACCCCTGCCCACACCACTTCTCCCAACCAAACATTTCTGCAGGGCTTCAGTTCTAGTGGAAGTAATATCAGGTCTTGTTTAACAAGCAGACCAGAGCACACTAGGACAAAAGTTACCACATTCTGGCAAAGGTCCAGACACTGCCCACTGCAGGCAAGGAGAGCCTCCGCAGACTCACCTGAAGGATAGTGCAGTCAAAAACACAACAGCAGAGCACACACAGCACAAAGAGACACCCCCTGAAGCACCAGATCCTAGACTATATGGCCTCTTCTTCATAAAGCCATTACTCTCTGGAGCAGGAAACCTAACGGAAATTTCTAATACACAGAAGAAGACAGAGACTTACATAAAATGCCAGGGTGGAGGAATTCATGTGAAATGAAAGAATAAGATTAAGGTTATGGCCAGAGACCTAAGTGAAACAGATATAAGTAACATGCTTGATCAAGATTTTAAAGCAATAAGCATAAGGTTACTCACTGGGCTTGAGAAAAGAATGGAAGACTTCCAGAAGTCACCTATCAAAAAGATAAAAGAGTTAAAAACAACAACACTAAGTTAGCCATTCATCTGTTGAAGGGCATCTTGGCTCTCTCCATATTTTGGCTATTGTGGACTTTGCTGCTATGAACATTGGGTTGCATATGGCTCTTCTTTTCACTACATCTGTATCTTTGGGGTAAATACCCATTAGTGCATTAGCTGGGCCATAAGGTAGTTTTATTTTTAATTTTTTTAAGATTTTATTTATTAATTGACAGAGAGAACACAAGTAGGCAGAGTGGCAGGGAAAGGGAGAAGCATGCCCTCCACTGAGCAGGGAGCCCAATGCGTGACTCGATCCCAGGACCCTGGGATCATGACCTGAGCAGAAGGCAGAGGCTTAACCAACTGAGCCACCCAGGTGCCCCTATTTTTAATTTTTTGAGGAATTTCCACTCTTTTCCAAAGTGGCTGCACCAATTTGCATTCTCACCAACAAGGTAAGAGTGTTTGCCTTTCTCCACATCCTCTCTGACATTT